TATATATATATATATATATATATATATTTGTATTATTTTTGTACTCAAATAATTGACACAATCAAGTTTCTAACGATGTAATGTTGCATTTTTATTATATTTTAAGTTGATTTCTTTAAAAGTTAAAAATATATATTTTTCTTATTTGTATGTGGCCAACTCCAAAAAAAATAAAAATAATTAGACATTCGATAAGGAATGTACATGTGTAAATAAGTGTTGGAAAAATATTGCTATCGAAATCATAGACAAGATTTCTTTACATACAGTCTTCTGAATTGATTCAGTGAAGCAGTAGAGGCCTCACGTGAAACTTGTCTGTCTTAATTGTTTTGGGAACCATCTATGTTAGTTAAAAGAATTTGGATAGACCTCGGAAAAATTGAAAGATTGATATCATCATACCCAAATCCTAAGGGTATGCCATGGGTAGGTGACTATGAAGTACCGATACTTCAATTTGCTTCACGTATCCGTATCCAATACGTATCTGATACGATATCTTTGGATTGGATACTTCACCGATACGTGTCAGTGAAGTATCCTAAGCTTTAAAAATATTATGAAAATTTTATTCAACTCCGATACTTTCATATACTTCACCGATACTTATTGGTGATACGTATCAATAAAACATTTAAATTTTTAAAAAATTATGAAATATCCGTTATAGCTAAATAAGATATATAAACATGTTTAATATAAAAACATAAAAATATTGGTCCTTGATGAACTGTAAATGAAAATTATCTTCTATATAGATAATTTTAAGAAAGAAATGAAATTATTGGTAATATTATTTCTATTTGTAAATAATACAAAGTAATTTATGATGAAATGATTTATAATTTATTTATTTTTAGTAATGTAAAATAAATATGATTTTAATTTAGATTTGAAAAATAAAAATTATATATTTAATGTTTATAAATTTTGATAAAAATTAAAAGTAAATAATTATTATATTATATGAACATTGATATATATGATGACACGTATCTTACAAACATCGTATTCTATATATTTTAAAATAATCGTATTGTCGTATCGGATACGTGTCGTATCTGATACGTATATCGTATCGATCAATCGGTACATTATAAGTAAGTGATAATTGAGCTTAAATTTAAGCCTGGCTTGACAATGATACTATAAAGATAATTTCACATATAAGATATGATAATAATTATTATGCAAGTGAACAAGACTATCCTATAATAGGAACAAAACACAAAGCAACTGCATATGAATTATTTGTATAGACCTAACCTTAAGGGAGAACCATTTACTTGTGAAACGATTACACTGAAACCATCTTCTGTAACTTTGAGCAAACCCTGCAAATCATAGTTATGTTCTTTAATCTTTAACCATATATCTTCCGAATTCTAGCAATTAAAAATGCAATCAAACTTTATGTTATTAAAATATAATCAAAATCTCACATCGTTCGAAGAAGATGAATTTATATGAACACATAAAATTTCTATTAATAACATCTTTTAGGTACTGCTCAAAAATAAATACATGAGAATTTAAATTTAAAAAGGATAATATCTTACTAATATGAAAACGTGTGTGTGAGAACCCAATGCACAACACATTCTCTTCTTGCTATCTAAACCAGAACATGTCTTGATTGCATACTACTAAAACAGTTTCACTTTTACTTGAGTTTCAAGTATATTTTGTTTTTCTTTTACCTCGTCAGTGTCACAAATAATGAGACCACCGTCTTTGGCTGTTGTGAATCCTAGCAAGGTATTACTATCTATATGCTTCCAATCCTCCCAATTTCCATTCCTGCGCAATCTTTTAATCCAACCATCACGAGTAACTGCATAGAGAGTCCCTTCTTTATCCACAGAAACATCTTCTGGTTCCTTCACAAGTCCTTCTCCCAGTTTAATGATATCCTGTTGTTCAGAACACAATATATAGCATAGAAAAGTAGTAAATATTAATTCTTTAACACAATAAGACCATATAACAAGTATTAACTATTGGTTAAACTGACAAAACTCGTTTAATTATTCCTACTTTTTGAAAGGAATTAAAATTTGTATAAAAAAATTTTAAAAAACTTTTCCACTGAAAAAAAAATCGTCTTCTTCTAAACTTATATTTAAATAAATTCATAATCTTACCTTGAATGCAAACCTATAAAATAAAATAAGAAGTATTAACTTGATTTTACCTGTAATTTGTTGTCTTTGGTTGAAGATGCAGGTTTTATTATATCCAGAAAAACTGGATCTATGGGTGAGAAGTAAAAGATTTGAACTGTGAGAGCTACTAAAATCACTAGAACCAAGCTTGAGCTTGCTCTAATCAGATTGGAAGCCATGGTATTTGAGCCAGGTGCTGCATAGGAATGTATTTATCCAAGAGTTGTCTAGAACGTGTGGTCATAATTGAAGCAAGGCTCGTATGTTCTCACATCTTTACCATGTGTCAAGTCTAGTCAAATTTGTACAGTCTTCCCCCGGTTAGACTAAACTAAAGTGTATTCTGGTTATTTTATCCTATTATTAGAACTCGTTTTAACATTTTACATTTTAAAAAAATATTTATCTTCTAATTTTGAAATTTGAATTAATATTATCACTACTAGAAAAGTGTTATTTTCTTGAAAAAAAATATTCACAAAAATTTTTTGCGAATTTTCTTGCAATAATAATTTCACAAAATTCTTTTACGAATTTATTTGCAAAAAATAATTTATAGATATTTCTTACAAATTTTTTTATGAAAAATAATCAACAAGAAATTTTTACAAATTTTGCTATAATTTTAATGATGATAGTTTTTTTCTATGATAAAAATTTACAAAAAATATTGTAAGAATTTTATTTTATTTCTTGTAGATTTTCTTGCAAAAATAAATACGCAAGTAATGTTTACTAAATAGTAGAAAAATTTTTCAAGTAACTTTTCATGCAGATTTTCATGCCAATTTTAATCACAGGAAAAATAAAAAAAATATTTAAATTTATAAGTTTAATATTTTAAAAAAACGTCAAGTCCCACATTAATTGAAAATAAAATAATTAAAAAGTATATAAGTTGGGACAACACTTACCTTACAAGTTGATTTGTATGGTTGAGTGTTAAGCTTATAATCTACAATCTTAGAATTTAAAAGATTATGTATCACATGTTGGAGGTGTGGAAATAAATGCTTCAAATGAATTCATTGTGAGCATTTGAAAGTTGAAGAATTATTGATAGAATTTATAGTAATTTCTTTAATTTTTTCGTAAAAAATATTCCAATAGAATTTCTTGCGAAAAAACTCACAGGAAACTTTCCTGCGAATTTTTTTCGCAAGATATTTCGTAGAAAAATTTCTTACGAATTTTAAAATTCATAAAAACATATTATCTATGAAGGTATTACCTGCAAATAAAAGTTCGCAGAAAAATTTGTAGGAACAACGTTTCCTACGAATTTTTATGAAAAATTCGCAGAAAAAATCGCATGTAATAAGATAAATTCTAGTAGTGCATCCTTTTAAAATAGTAATCCTTCCATTTCTTATTATACTACATAATTTAGAAGAAAATAGTAATTATTTTTATGAGGTATTTTACAAGTTTTATATTTTTTTATTATTGAATAATGAGAAGAATCTAAAAAATAATTGTTCTTTTTCATTGAACTCTTCAATCATCATTTATCATTATTATTAATATTGATACATAAATTTTTGTAAGAAGTAATTTCTTCACTCCTCCCGTGACAATTTAACGATAAGTATAAGGGTAAAATTAGTATATCATACTTTTTTTTGAAAAAAATCAATAAAATAAATTGAAATAACTAATTATATTAGTTTTTGTAATTATGTTATAAGTGTCTTATGTCGTAGACCTTCCAAGGAGTTTATTACTTTGCAACCTTAAGGAATAGTTATCTCTGTGCCATTAAGAGGAATGTGAGATTGTCATCAACCTGCTAGCGGATATAGTGAAGGAATAGGAATCTCTTGACATTTTCAAGGACAATTGTTTGGATGATAGATAATGAAACTCGTTAAGCAACTAAAGGCTAAAGTTGTTGAGACTAGCATTCCATTCATGCTCGGTGCCCCAAACAAGCTACTCAAATCTAACCTTGGACCTCATTTAAGTTCCAACACTCGAAGATGAAGGTTATGCATGTTGACATCTACAAAGGGAAAAAACATCCATCAGGGTACATTGAAGATATAAGGTATCTTTGTTATGTTAGAGCTCATCAATTTGGAGTAGACAAAAATTACCTCATCCATGGGACGTGGAGTTCTACAAACCCCTGTACCACTTGCCACTCAACCCTCCAAAAAAAATGCCTTATACCAATCATGTTGGACATTCGTCTATCCATCATCCTTTCCATTTCATTTCCTCATTAACTTGTAAATATTTGTTTCATTTATACTTATATTGCACTTGAACTTGTGTTGAATGTCTTTTATGCATGAATTGCACTCAATTTTTGGTACTCTTTTTGGTAATTGTAGATATTTATATATGTTATTTTACCCCCTAAATTGGAAGAATCAAAGTATATTAAAAGGGTAGAAGAGTAGTAGCAAATCTTAATTTTTTCCTTTATTTTTGTAGAAAAATTGAGAAGACAGAGTTCCATAGCCATAGTTGTGGATCTGGAGCTCGAGCTGTGGAAATCTGGGAAGGAATTAGGAGGTCAGAAAGTTGTAGCTATAGCTGTGGATCTGGAGCTATAGCTGTGAAAATATGGAATGTGCATTTTTGGGTCCAGAGACTTGGAGCTAAAGCTGCAGGTTCACGGCTAAAGCGTTGAGGCATGGGAGAACAAAAAAAGTAACAGAAACCCCCAGCCATAACTGTGGTTTCATGATACAGCGTTGGGAGTTGCTTAACCACGAAGGAGTCTCCACAACTATAGCTGTGGATCCATAGCTGAAGCCGTGAAGCTTACTTCACCATGAAGAACTCTCCACAGCCATAGCTGTGGATCTATAGCTGCAGCCGTGGGAGAAAAAAATCTTATTTTGGCTCCTGTTTCGAAGCTCATATAAAAGGAAAAGAAGGAGAAAAACAGGGTAACGCGAAACACAAAGAGAAAAACAGGATTTGGAGCACGAAGAGAGAAAACAGGGCAAAAGTGAAGATTGGGAAGTTGGATCATTTGGGAACGAAGATCAACCCCTTCTCTTCATTTTTTAATTTGTGATTTCTTCTTCTACTCCTCTGATCTTGTAATGGCCATGTGTGGCTAAATCTTTTGAGGATTGGTCCTGGTGTAACTACTAACTCTTCTATTTCTTAAATCTATATATGCATTTCATTCTCATTACTTGTGCTTGATTCTACTTTTAATGCTTATACCGGCTTGATCACCTGTTATATGATATTTGGTTTTTGAATCCGGTCGGAAAACGTTTTTGAAAACCTGAACTGAATCTTGCACCTAAACATCTCTTGCTCTAGGAACAGACTTGATTTGTTTAGTCACCTTGTTCAAGTCATTGTTCTTAATGCAAAGTGTTAATCATAAAACATAGAGGAATCATGTTTTAGATTAATTACTTTAGGATTCAATTTTGAGGAGATCTTGTTGAATTACTAAATGAACGTGGAAGTCATGAAGATGAAATCATATTTATTTTAAGGAAATTTAAGAGTTAGCAAGTGCTCTAGGGTCCAATCCTTGTTTTATATAATTGTTCTTATAACTTTTACATTACCGTTTTAATTTTGTTTCACATTAGCTCACTTCCAATCATATCAACATCTCTTTATTAATCATTGGAGTAAGAATTACTAAATTCTCAAATCCCTGAGGACGATACTTAAATACTACATCGAAACTTGGTCCGCTTTCCAAGTAGTGTGTTTGCAAAAATACCCATCAAGTTTCTGGCGCCGTTACCGGGGATTTGGTGCTATTTAGTAATTCTTATTCTTGTGATTTTGTAATTGTGTTAATAATTCATTTTGTGAATATTTATAATATATAGATACAATTGTCTTGTTGTGTTTTGTGGACTCACCTTGCTGTGCAAACTTCTTGAATTTGCATGTGAAGAAAAACTCCAGCCGAAGAATTGCATTTTGATCCTGAAATTGAAAGAACGGCAAAGAGGAACAACAGTAAAACAAGAAGGCTTAGACAGTTAGAGAGAATCCAAAAACAACAGCAAGATCTTCCGAGTTCTTCAACTTCATCAAATCAACCATTCCTTGAAGCAGAGATGGCTGAAGATGGAACAGGCACTCATAATGGTGGACATGAACCAGCTAGGCCTCCTAGAAGGACCCTAGGTGATTATGTACAAAAACATGGTCCTAGGCATTTCTCTAGCATTGCAGCTCCAAATACTTCTAGATCCATGGAGATGAAGCCTACCTTCCTTACTTTGGTTAGGTCACAACAATTTGCTGGCCTATCATGAGGACCCATATTCACACCTTTCAAATTTCTATGAGTTATGTGGAACAATGGGAATTCCTGAAGGTGATGAGGAAGTTGTATACTTGAGGTTGTTTCCATTCTCTTTAACAGGAAAAGCTAAAGTTTGGTTACTGTTCTTACCGGAATTTGGTCGTAGTGATGATCCGTCCAGTAAGATCAGTGAGCCTCCTTTGGTGATGTGCTGGTGCTCCGAGATGGGGGAGGTACCTGCAAAAGAGACTCTGATGCTAAAGTTAGGGTTTGTATGAGTATGAGTCTCGTATAAATAATGCACATACCTTGGTGTGAATTAGGGTTGTTTTGGGCTCTGGGCCTGAGATAAAATATAATAAGATCAGATAATATATCTCGCCTGGAGCCAGATCCTTTAGGATCAGTTATGATTTACTTAGATGCCGGGCTGACGTCATGTAATGCGTACCCGAGGTCTTCCTGCACCGTGGTGCCGAGCTCCGAGCTCGGTTTCACGGGTCGAATAGTACATTAGCCCCCCGAGCTCCGAAGACCGTGGGTCGAGGAGTTAAGATCAGGCTTGTTGGATCCTTTAAGTGTCGAGCGATGCGAAAGGGAAGTGGGTTTCTGAGGACCCTTCTAATTTATTGTTTGAAGGTTCAGACTTGACCTTGCTAGGTAGGTATGATCTCAAGGTTCGGACTCGACCTTGGTTGGGAGGATGTAGTCTCAAGGTTCGGACTCGACCTTGGTTGGGAGGGTGTAGTCCTGAGGTTGAGTAGTAGGTTTGGTCCGGGGCAAGGGTCCTTGGTCTTAAATACCGAGCTGACAATACGTATCACACGCCCGGGGTCACGTCGCACCGTGGTGCCGAGCTCCGAGCTAGGTCTCATAGGTCGGGCAGTGTAGGTGAGTCCGAGCTTCACTAGGGGGAATGACTTTTTGAGTACGCTGGCTTATTCATTGCGCCGCGTGTCGTTTCTTGTTTCAGTAACCGAGGGCTGTGTGTTGATGGGTGTGACGGTTATGCAATGATGGCTCTTTTTG